TAGCGTCACCATCAGTGTAGCGTCACCAACAGTGTAACGTCATCAGCAGTATAGCGTCACTATCAGTGTAGCGTCACCACCAGTGTAGCGTCACCATCAGTGTAGCGTCACCATCAGTGTAGCGTCACCATCAGTGTAGCGTCACCATCAGTGTAGCGTCACCACAGTGGGTCACGTCATCAGCTGTAGCGTCACTATCAGTGTAGCGTCACCATCAGTGTAGCGTCACCATCAGTGTAGCGTCACCATCAGTGTAGCGTCACCAACAGTGTAGCGTCATCAGCAGTGTAGCGTCACATGATCCCCTGTGTAGCGTCACCATCAGTGTAGCCCATGTAGCGTCACCATCAGTGTAGCGTCACCATCAGTGTAAGCGTCACCATCAGTGTAGCGTCACCATCAGTGTAGCGTCACCCACCACAGTGTAGCGTCACATCAGTGTAGCGTCCACATTCAGTGTAGCGTCACCAGCAGTGTAGCGTCACCATCAGTGTAGCGTCACCATCAGTGTAGCGTCACCAGCAGTGTAGCGTCACCATCAGTGTAGCGTCACCATCAGTGTAGCGTCACCATCAGTGTAGCGTCACCAGCAGTGTAGCGTCACCATCAGTGTACGTATCGTACTCACCAGCAGTGTAGCGTCACCATCAGTGTAGCGTCACTATCATGTGGTACTAGGGCGTCACTATCAGTGTAGCGTCACCACAGTGTAGCGTCACCAGCAATGTATAGCGTCACCATCAAGTGTAGCGTCACCATCAGTGTAGCGTCACCCTAGCCATCAGTGTAGCGTCACCAGCAGTGTAGCGTCACCATATGAGCGTCACCATCAGTGTAGCGTCACCATCAGTGTAGCGTCACCATCAGTGTAGCGTCACCATCAGTGTAGCGTCACCATCAGTGTAGCGTCACCATCAGTGTAGCGTCACCAGCAGTGTAGCGTCACCAGCATGTAGCTACTATCATGACGTCACCATCAGTGTAGCGTCACCATCAGTGTAGCGTCACCATCAGTGTAGCGTCACCAGCAGTGTAGCGTCACTATCAGTGTAGCGTCACCATCAGTGTAGCGTCACCATCAGTGTAGCGTCACCAGCAGTGTAGCGTCACCAGCAGTGTAGCGTCACCATCAGTGTAGCGTCACCATCAGTGTAGTGTCACCATCAGTGTAGCGTCACCATCAGTGTAGCGTCACCATCAGTGTAGCGTCACCATCAGTGTAGCGTCACCATCAGTGTAGCGTCACCATCAGTGTAGCGTCACCATCAGTGTAGCGTCACCATCAGTGTAGCGTCACTATCAGTGTAGCGTCACCATCAGTGTAGCGTCACCATCAGTGTAGCGTCACCATCAGTGTAGCGTCACCATCAGTGTAGCGTCACCATCAGTGTAGCGTCACCATCAGTGTAGCGTCACCAGCAGTGTAGCGTCACCATCAGTGTAGCGTCACCATCAGTGTAGCGTCACCATCAGTGTAGCGTCACCATCATGTTAGCGTTCACCTCAGTGTAGCGTCACCATCAGTGTAGCGTCACATCAGTGTAGCGTCACCATCAGTGTAGCGTCACCATCAGTGTAGCGTCACCATCAGTGTAGCGTCACCACAGTTGTCCTCAGTTAGCGTCACCATCAGTGTAGCGTCACCATCAGTGTAGCGTCACCATCAGTGTAGCGTCACCATCAGTATAGCGTCACCATCAGTGTAGCGTCACCATCAGTGTAGCGTCACATCAGTAAGCGTCACCATCAGTGTAACGTCACCATCAGTGTAGCGTCACCATCAGTGTAGCGTCACCACAGTTAGCGTCACCATCAGTGTAGCGTCACCATCAGTGTAGCGTCACCATCAGTGTAGCGTCACCATCAGTGTAGCGTCACCATCAGTGTAGCGTCACCATCAGTGTAGCGTCACCATCAGTGTAGCGTCACCATCAGTATAGTAACGTTCTACCATCAGTATAGCGTCACCATCAGTTAGGTCACCATCAGTGAGCGTCACCATCAGTGTAGCGTCACCATCAGTGTATGCGTCACCATCAGTTAGCGTTCACCATCAGTGTAGCGTCACCATCAGTGTAGCGTCACCATCAGTGTAGCGTCACCATCAGTATAGCGTCACCATCAGTATAGCGTCACCATCAGTGTAGTGTCACCATCAGTATAGCGTCACCATCAGTATAGCGTCACCATCAGTGTAGCGTCACCATCAGTATAGCGTCACCATCAGTATAGCGTCACCATCAGTGTAGCGTCACCATCAGTATAGCGTCACCATCAGTATAGCGTCACCATCAGTATAGCGTCACCATCAGTATAGCGTCACCATCAGTGTAGTGTCACCATCAGTATAGCGTCACCATCAGTATAGCGTCACCATCAGTTAGTTAGTGCTGTCACCATCAGTATAGCGTCACCATCAGTATAGCGTCACCATCAGTGTAGCGTCACCATCAGTATAGCGTCACCATCAGTATAGCGTCACCATCAGTATAGCGTCACCATCAGTGTAGCGTCACCATCAGTATAGCGTCACCATCAGTATTAACGTCCACCATCAGTATAGCGTCACCATCAGTGTAGCGTCACCATCAGTTAGCGTCACCATCAGTATAGCGTCACCATCAGTTAGCGTCACCATCAGTGTAGCGTCACCATCAGTATAGCGTCACCATCAGTTAGCGTCACCATCAGTATAGCGTCACCATCATGTATAGCGTCACCATCAGTATAGCGTCACCATCAGTATAGCGTCACCATCAGTATAGCGTCACCATCAGTATAGCGTCACCATCAGTGTAGCGTCACCATCAGTATAGCGTCACCATCAGTATAGCGTCACCATCAGTATAGTGTCACCATCAGTATAGCGTCACCATCAGTATAGCGTCACCATCATATAGTGTCACCATCAGTATAGCGTCACCATCAGTATAGCGTCACCATCAGTGTAGTGTCACCATCAGTATAGCGTCACCATCAGTATAGCGTCACCATCAGTGTAGTGTCACCATCAGTATAGCGTCACCATCAGTATAGCGTCACCATCAGTTAGTGTCACCATCAGTGTAGCGTCACCATCGTATAGCGTCACCATCAGTATAGCGTCACCACAGTGTAGTGTCACCATCAGTATAGCGTCACCATCAGTATAGCGTCACCATCAGTGTAGCGTCACCATCAGTATAGCGTCACCATCAGTGTAGCGTCACCATCATATAGCGTCACCATCAGTGTAGTGTCACCATCAGTATAGGTGACCATCTATTATAGCGTCTACCATCAGTAGTCGTCACCATAGTATTAGTCGTACACCATATGTATAGCGTCACCATCAGTATAGCGTCACATCAGTGTAGGTCACCATCAGTATAGCGTCACCATCGTATAGGTCACCATCAGTGTTGCGTACCATCGTATAGCGTCACCATGCAGTGTAGTGTCACCACAGTTTAGCGTCACCACAGTAGTAGCTGTACCATCAGTGTAGCGTCCACCATCATGTATAGAGTGTTAGCCAGTGTACGTGTATAGCGTCACCATAGTATAGCGTAGCCATGTTGTAGCGTTTGTACCATCAGTATAGCAGTTACACAGTGTGTACACAGTTGCAGTGTAGTCCATCAGTATGTACCACGGATAGGTTACCATAGTGTAGCAGTAGCCAGTTAGTAGTAGCGTACCATTTGTAGCAGTAGTGTAGCGTGTAATGAATTAATTGTACATAGTTAGTACATAGTATATAATAGTAGATATGTAATGATTTAATATAATAACAGTAGTATATAAGTGTAGAATATATACATTGTATATAAGTGTAAAGTTACTTAAATAGATAATAGTTTGATAGAGTGTATTAATAAGTAATGAATTTATTAGTCATTAATAACTAAGTGTTAGAGTATTCAGTACCATGTTAATGGTCAGCAACCGATTGTGCAGTGTTGTAGCCAGTGTTGTAGCCAGTGTTGTAGCCACGGTTAGATGTTACCAGTAGCCAGTGTTGTAGCCAGTGTTGTAGCCACGGTAGTGTTGTAGCCAGTGTTGTAGCCAGTGTTGTAGCCAGTGTTGTAGCCAGTGTTGTAGCCAGTGTTGTAGCCAGTGTTGTAGCCAGTGTTGTAGCCACGGTAGTGTTGTAGCCAGTGTTGTAGCCAGTGTTGTAGCCAGTGTTGTAGCCAGTGTTGTAGCCAGTGTTGTAGCCACGGTAGTGTTGACCAGTGTGTGTACAGTGTTGTAGCCAGTGGTGTAGCCAGTGTTGTAGCGTGTGTGTAGCCACGGTAGTAGCTGTTGGTTGCCAGTCGTTGTACCATTTGGCACCAGTGTTGGTAGTGCCAGTGTGCTGTAGCCAGTGATGTAGCCTAGTGTATAGCAGTGTTGAGCCATGTTGTACCCACGTGTGTATGAGCCAGTGTGTAGCCCAGTGTGTGTTTAGCCAGGTGTGTAGCCAGTGTTGTAGCCAGTGTTGTAGCCAGTGTTGTAGCCTCAGTGAGTGGTAGCCAGTGTTTAGACCCACGGTAGTGTTGTAGCCAGTGTTGTAGCCCAGTGTTGTAGCCACTGTGTAGCCAGTGTTGTAGCCATGTTGTTGTGCCAGTGTTGTAGCCAGCGGTAGCAGGTTGTAGCCATGTCGGTTGTAGCCAGTGTTGTACCAGTGTTGTTGAGCCAGGTTGTAGCCGTGTTGTAGCCAGTGTTGAGCAGGTAGCCAGTGTTGTACCCAGTGATTGTAGCCATGTTGTAGCAGGTGAGCCACGGAGTGTGTAGCAGGTGTAGCCAGTGTTGTAGCCAGTGGTCGTACCACGTGTGTTTGTAGCCATTGTAGCCAGGTAGTTAGTAGCCAGTGTTGTAGCCACGGTATGTTCACCATGTTGTAGCCACGGTAGTTGGAGTCCAGTGTGTCCACGGAGTGTTGCACTAGTTGTACAGTAGTGTGTAGCCATTGTGCCAGAATCTCACGTCTTGTAAGACTGCGACAGACTAGTTTAAATAAGAGAGCTAGTTTGAGATTGCCAGCAGTGTAGCGTCACCATCAACGTCACCCTCAGTGTAGCGTCACCATCAACGTCACCCTCAGTGTAGCGTCACCATTAACGTCACCCTCAGTGTAGCGTCACCATCAACGTCACCCTCAGTGTAGCGTCACCATCGACGCCACCGTCAGTGCAGTGTCACCAGCACTGTAACATCACCAGCAGTCAGGCGTCACCAGCACCGTCACCATATCAATGTAGCATCACCAGTAGCACAGCGTCACCGTCAGTGTAAGGTTGGGCAGGCGTCGTGTTCACCAGCAGACACCCTCCGCCCGGAGCGAGCTAGGTCTGGCTAAGGACAAGACTCTGGTCAGCTCCTGCGTCGCCTCTCCTGAGCTCCTCGCTGTGGAACACAGCGTCGCGGCCTCCGCAGCAGATGTCGGAGTAGCAGGCACGAACGGGGAGGTAGAGGAAGGCAGGGAGGTCGCCGGGGAGGTAATGGAGGAGGTGAGGGAACTCCTCAGTGGATTGGAGGCTTGGGCGAGGAGGGAGGAAGTGGGCAGAGACGGAGGGGGGAATGGGCAGACCGGCAGGAAGGGCAAGAGTCCGTGGAACTGTGCGTGGTGGAGACCCAGGGGTAGTAAAGTCGGGGCGTGGCATTCCAGCCCCGGGATTCTATCCCCTGGCAGGAGGTAGTCTGGGAGTCTGTGAGCTGGGGAGGTGATGGTGGAGTCTGTGCGAGTAAGGGCGGCCATGGGCGCCAAGCACCTCAGAGACTGTGAGAACGACCCGAGGTTAGACCCCAGAGGCGGCAGTGGACCATCCAGTCCTCGCTCCCGGATCATCTTCTTGGTCTTGTAGCGGTGGTTCTGGAACCAGATCTTGATCTGCGTGGGAGTCAGGTCCAGCAGGGAGGCTAGGTGCTCCCTCTCCGGCGCTGACAGGTACCGCTGCTGGCGGAACCTCCGCTCCAGTTCGTATGTCTGAGCTTTGCTGAAGAGAATTCTTCTTTTTCTTTTGCGGCCCGAGGCTTCCATTTCTTCTTCGGCACAGTCGTCAACTTCAAGAGCTTCCATGTCTTCGTCGGGAGGGGTGAGGACGGCCGCAGCCTGCTCCGTGGAGTCCGCCGCGGCCTGCACGGTGCTCTGGGGTCCCTGGCCGCCCCCAGGGCTGGCTGGACCATCGGCTGGGGTGTCGTCGACAGCATCTGCCGGAGGGGAGAGTTAACACCTGGTCAGTCAGCACCAATACTATTACAAACGCTCCCAGCACCCCGTTGTGCAGAATCATTTAATCTAATTTAGCGAAATGCATAATCATCTCCCATTGATGGGGAAAAAATCGACTTTTATATACTCGGATGAACCCCATTGTTCGACATACTGCCTTGTGTACACATTTCGTTAAGGAATATACATACATAATAACTTTAGTACCTTCCTACTCAGGATTGGCATATATTAGCGAGTTACACTGCAGTTTAAAGTCATCCCTGAGCTGAACTATACAAAGGGAGGAGCAGCATCAGGTAGGGAGCTTGTGTGGACCGGGACTCATCATCACTGATAAGTAAGACACATGTGCAGCAGTTAGGTGCCTTTATTCCGAAACGTTTCGTCTACACAATAGACTTCTTCAGTTGAGTACAGAAGAGTTAACAGGAGTAGAGATGTGAAGACGATGTAATCAGCCCGTCATCTTTGAAGACGTGATACTGAGGTGGTCAGTCCCTCAGCCTGGAGAAGAGTTTTGCTCCACTGTCTGGAACAAGTGTTCCAGGCGAAACGATTTGGGAATAAAGATACCTAACTGTTGCACATGTACCTTATTAACCTGTCGGCATTGTATACCATTATCATATTCACTCATGATCACTGTTTATCATGTTCTCCCCCGCCCTCGAAATGACTCTCTAATGGTTTTATTAACAGTAAAGTCTCTTATAAATAATCCATATACAACACAACACAACACAACACAACACAACACAACACACCACACACACACACACACACACACACACACACACACACACACACACACACACAGTGATGCATAACCCACCACAGAACAGCAGGAGGCCAAGGTAAGAGTATGACGAGAGCAATAGAGCGATGGTTGACACACTGGCTGCAGTGGCCAGAAGAGCTCATGCATGCAGGGCAAAGCTCCTGATCATGGGTGACTTTTACCACAAGGAAATCGATTGGGAGAACTTGGAGCCACATGGGGGCCAAGACACATGGAGGGCTAAGATGATGGAGGTGGTACTGGAAAACTTCATGTACCAACACGTAAGGGACACTACAAGAGAGAGAGAGAGGAGAGGATGAACCAGCAAGACTGGACCTAGTATTCACCTTGAGTAGTGCAGATATTGAGGACATCACATATGAGAGACCCCTTGGGGCCAGCATCTGGGGTTTTTTAAGTTTCAATCACAGTAAGCAAAAAGTGGGGGGGAAGCAGAAGGGCCCGGGGGAAGAAGCCAAACACAAGAAAGGGGGACTACACGGGAATGGGGAACTTCCTGAACGGGGTTCGGGGAAGAAAACGGCGGGAGCCATTTTAAGGGGAATGGGGAAATATTGAAAACAATGTGAAAGGAGGGCTGAGGAGAGGTTTGTCCCCAAAGGGTAACGGATAAAAAAAAAGCGGGAGGGGCCCATGGTTCCCCCAAAAGGGTTGCAGGGGGGCAAAACCCAAGTGTGCTGGGAATGGAAGAAATATAAAGGGAAAAGGCCCCAGGAGAATGGGGAAAAACTCGTAGAGCCGAAAGGAATAGCACAGATAAGAAGGGGGCCCCCCAACGATAAAGGGAAAACGAATGCGGGAAAACCCAAATGCCCCTGAAGCTGTTATACGGCCACACAGGAGGAAAAAAACATAAAGGACCGGAAACGGCAAGGAAGGAAGGAGGAGAACAACAAAAAAATGCCCGTAAAGTATTGAGGAATAAAAAAGGATTAAAGGGAAAATGTTCCGGGAAACAAAGGGGCCCAAAAGATGGAGGGTGGGGACACCACCAAGGGGGTTTTTGAACAGTACACAAAACCGAGGAAGAATGAAGGGGTTTCTGGTGGCTAGATCCTCAAAGGGCAAAGGGGGCCCGGATAAATTTTTCCCCCATGGGGCCTGAGAGGGGGAAAAAGGGGCGCAGTTTACCCTAAAAACAAATTCAATACTCTATCGAAACAGGGAGATTGTGAGGCGGAAGACAGCAAATGTAGTCCCAATTTTTAAAAAAAAGGGACAGACTAAAGCACTAAATACAGACCAGTGCCCCGCATGTTAGTTTTGAAATCAGGAGAAGTTTCGGAAAAGGGGGTGGCCCCTTAAAAGGGAAAATACCCCAATCACCACCCCCCAACAGGTTTCAGAGACGGGAAACCCTTTCACAACCTTTACGGGAGTTTACACGTGGTGACGCGTAAGAAAAGAGAAAGAGAGGAGGGGGTGGATTGCTTTTTCTTGGACTGCAAAAGGCGTTTGACACATTTTCCACACAAAATTTGGAAAAAACTGGGGACCAAACAGGGAAAACAGGGGGGGGCACACAAGGATCAGGGAATATTGCGGGAAAGACGCAGGAGTCATGGACCAACGGGGCGTGTGTCGAGAAGCCCGTGCCCAGCGGGGTCCCAGGGTCGTCCAGGACCAGTCTTTTTTGGGTATTTTTAACGACATGACGGGGGAATAGCTCCAAGTGTCCCTGATTGCAGTAAAAATGAAGTTAAAAAGAAAATTCATTCGAAAAGAAGACCCGGCGAACACAAAAGGGATCTGGAAGGCTGCGACCTGGTGGCAAATTTTCCTGGGGGTTTTAACCCCCCCAAGTCAAAAATCAGAAATTGGGAAGGGCAAAGAAGACCCCAGACGGAATACAACTAGGGGCCGAAACTACAAAAACCCCCTCAAGGAAAAAGATCTTGGGGTGAGTAAACAAGGCCCTCTCCTGAAGCACACATCAACCAAATAACTGCTGCAGCATATGGGCGCCTGGCAAACCTCAGAACAGCATTCCGACATCTTAATAAGGAATCGTTCAGGACCCTGTACACCGTGTACGTTAGGCCCATATTGGAGTATGCGGCACCAGTTTGGAACCCACACCTAGCCAAGCACGTAAAGAAACTAGAGAAAGTGCAAAGGTTTGCAACAAGACTAGTCCCAGAGCTAAGAGGTATGTCCCACGAGGATAGGTTAAGGGAAATGAACCTGACGACACTGGAGGACAGGAGAGATAGGGGGGACATGATAACGACATACAAATTACTGAGAGGACAAAGGTGGACAAAGACATGATGTTCCAGAGATTGGACACAGCAACAAGGGGACACAATTGGAAGTTGAAGACACAGGTGAATTACAGGGATGTTAGGAAGTATTTCTTCAGCCACAGAGTAGTCAGGAAGTGGAATAGTTTGGGAAGCGATGTAGTGGAGGCAGGATCCATACATAGCTTTAAGCAGAGGTACGATAAAGCTCATACTTCAGGGAGAGTGACCTAGTAGCGACCAGTGAAGAGCTTGAACTCGACCCCTGCAACCTCAACTAGGTGAGTACAACCAGGTGAGTACACACACACACAAACACACACACACACACACACAATATACACACACAAAACACACACACACACACACACACACCCCAAACACACACACAAAACCCCACACACACTACACACAAAAACACACACACACACACACACACACACACACACACACACACACACACACACACACACACACACACACAAGAAACGACCAAGAGGTATGCCCAGGAGCTCAACAAAAGATTTAAAGAGGTATTTACAGTGGAAACCAGTAGGACCCCAGGAAATCAGAACAGGGGGGCACACCAGCAAGTGCTGGATGAGGTACATATAACCAAGGAGGAGGTGAAGAAGCTGCTATGCGAACTTGACACCTCAAAGGCGGTGGGACCAGACAAAAATTTCTCCATGGGTCCTTAAAGAGGGAGCAAGGATATTGTGTGAGCCTTTAACAAAGATCTTCAACACATCATTTGAAACTGGGCAACTCCCTGAGGTATGGAAATGGCAAATTTAGTCCCAAATTTTTTAAAAAGGGAGACAGACATGAGGCACTAAACTACAGACCTGTATCACTAACGTGTAAGTATGCAAGGTCATGGGAAGATCATCAGGAGGAGAGTGGTGGGGCACCTGGTAAGAAACAAATGTATAATTGACAACCAGCACGGTTCAGGGAAGGAAAATCCTGTGTCACAAACCAAATAGAGTTTTATGACAAGGTGACAGAAGTAAGACAAGAGGGGAGAGGGGTGGATCGACGCATAATTTTGGACTGCAAGAAGCCTTCGACACAGTTCCTCACAAGAGGTTACTGCAAAAGCTAGAGGATCAGGCACACATAAGAGGAAAGGCACTGCAATGGATCAGAGAATACCTGACAGGGGGGGCAACACGAGTCATGGTACGCGACGAGGTGTCAGAGTGGGCGCCTGTGACAAGCGTGGTTCCACAGGGGTCAGTCCTAGGACCTGTGCTTGTTCTTGGTATATGTGAACGACATAACGGAAGGGATAGACTCAGAAGTGTCCTTGTTTGCAGATGATGCGAAGTTAATGAGAAGAATTTAAAAGGATGAGGATCAGGGAGGACTACAAAGGAAACCCGGACAGGCTACAAGCCTGGTCCAGCAACTGGCTCCTTGAGTTTAACCCCGCCAAATGCAAAGTCATGAAGATTTGGGGGAAAGGGCAAAGAAGACCGCAGACACAATATAGTTTAGATGGCCAAAGACTGCAAACCTCATCAAGGAAAAAGATCTGGGGGTGAGTATAACACCCAGCATATCTCCTGAGGCGCACATCAATCAGATAACTGCTGCAGCATACGGGCGCCTGGGGAAACCTACGGATAGCGTTCCGATACCTCAGTAAGGAGTCGTTCAAGACTCTGTATACCATTTACGTCAGGCCCATACTGGAGTATGCAGCACCAGTTTGGAATCCACACCTAGTCAAGCACGTCAAGAAATTACAGAAAGTGCAAAGGTTTGCAACAAGACTATCCCAGAGCTCGGGGGATTGTCCACGAAGAAAGGTAGGAAAATGGGCCTGACGTCACTGGAGGACAGGGGGGTCAGGGGAACAGATAACGACAAACAAAATACTGCGTGGAAAGACAGGTGGACAAAGACGGGATTTTCCCGAATGGGGCACAGACACAAGAGGGGCACAATTGGGAAATTAAAACTCGATGAAACCCAAAAGGGGTGTTAGGAAGT